ATCATTGTCGTCTTGTGGGATCACTGCTGCAGTGCGCAGTGACGTGAGCCTTCAATATAACAGCATAGTTTACACATCAGTGTTTAGATGTCGCGAGGAGGAGTTAGCTTGAAACATTACAGTACGCCGATAACATCGGCGTTACCTTGTAAAGCAATAATGTGGTTTAAATTAAGTCGACGTGTGTATGATGGAATGTAGATGAGCCACATTCTCAACGTTCAAATGAACACGGAATTAAATTATCACCGGATCACGTAATATGGATTTGCCGGCCAGTAGCGTAAAGGTAACGGGCTTGTAATCTGACGGCGCGGGTTCGAGCCTGCGTAGAGACAGAGCGACTCTCGCAGTATCCTTAGCTCACGTGCGACCGGTGGTGGTTGCGCGACAGCGAAGCGTCGGTACTGCGTACTGGCGTACTGGCGTACTGCTGATGCCCTTTTTCCATAATCTGGCTTGTAATACTAATAATGTGTCAGCTGTGCGGCCCGACTAATTTGGTTTGAGCCACAGCAAACAACGGTTGGTTTGGGACAAAATAAAGAGCTGGGTAGTTCGTAGTGGGAATCACAGCAAGGAGATTATTGAGCAGGACGAAAGTATCACAGCATATGACATTCTGGATTCTTCTACACTAGCTGAAACGTGAATGCCTCCAGGGGTAAGGACTTCTAACTATTCTAGTGCGTACGCATCCCACTTACGTTATCTTTTTAACCCTGCCCATAGCCTAAAGGTTACTAGCTTGTCTTGTAATCTGACGGCAAGGGTTCGAGCCTGCCTAGGAGCAGGGCGAATCTCGCAGTATTTTCGGCCCACGTGCGGCTGGTGATGATTGCACGGCAGCGAAGCGCCGGTATGCAGTACTACTGATGCGTATTTTTCTTCTTTCACTTTTACAAAATAATCTAATGACCACCCTTTTAACGTAATAAAGCTGCTCAACCGAAGCATAAGTGACCGCATCAGCCAAAACATTTTGCAGCAACCAAGACGAGCTCGTGTTTGTCTTCATCTGTTACTTCCGTCTCAGATATTTTTGTTTTCGATAGACCCATCCATTTTCGTGCACCGATGACATTGTTGCTGTGGTTTTGGATTGCCGACTATCCACTTCAATTAGCTAGGAAACCGGAAGCTTTTTTCTGGATTTAAGGTTTTAACTCGGTCACAGCCGTCGAACGGTTCAACGCCGCCGGTCCGTGGTTTCTCGTGCCGGCAACGCTTAAGACTGATGAATTCCAGCCTAGCAATTTTAATCATCATCGAGCAGACATGACAGGTGGGGGCCAACTCATCTTACGGGAGCAGTTTTGAAACATACATTTTATGTTTTTTCTATTCATGCACGAGGTTGTGTGACATACTGAAAGCGCAAAACTCGAGCTACGCTTCAATCAAAAGCCCATCTGGCACATGACACAATAGTTAAACGGTGCAGTAAGTTAAAAATCTATTCCACGTAATTCTGCTGACAGGCTCGCGGTTTCAAACTGGATCACCATCCGGCGCACGCCTTATTGCTGTGTTAACAGTCATCTAGATACATGTCGTATGGTGGCCATTTTCCCTGGTGTTTAACCTCTCATCATGCGCTGTCTTTGTCAACTGATGGAGTACCGGCCTGATGATTGGTAGAGGCAAATTTCCTAGTTTCTGTTCTGGTTCCCCGCCAGACTACGAATCGAATTCATGAATAAGAGAAAGGTATGCAGGTTTCCCGTCTGAACTGGCTGCATAAGTCACATTTTTACCCTGCGACAGATGCATTAGCATGCGCACTGCAAGCCGAGTTCAACAATGTTTCTCGATTGCGGCACCATAGTTGGGGTGTTTTTCGCTTCTAGCTAGCATATATACTGATGGATGATGTTCCTCGATTTCGTGCGCGCATATTCGTCCACATTTGTCATTTCATTTCGTTTGCTATACTTTAAATGCCGTTCATGTAATTCATGTGCACGTTTTACGTGTTTCACACCCATCAAATCGCCTTAGGTCGCGGCTATTTGTCGTACGCGTTCCCACCACAAGTAGCGTACTCCAAGGTTGTCCTATTTCACCGCCGTAGGTAAGGGTATCAGCAGTGCGACAAGGCTATATACCGATGCTTTGCTGTCGCGCAGCCTCAAGCAGTTGTGCACGGGCCGGGGTACTGGTGGGTATCCGAACCTATGCAGGGGCGGGGTCTCAAACCCGGGATGTGGAGGTCTCAAACCAAACGCCAGAGCTGCCACAAAGCGGCTCATCGCCATAATGTTTTCTTATGTGATCTCACGAGGAAGATATTGATTTCATGTCATTGGGTTGAAAGAATTTAGTTTCTTTGGATTATGCCGTCGACCTCGTTTTATTGTCTACAAATCACGAGGCGACAATCCACCGTCGACCAACTCACGCAAGGATCTAATCCGTGGTATAACCTTTGTGTATTTAGCTTGCAAGATGCTGCTATAAAGCTATCATATACTTACTCGTTCTTTTATTTTTGACTCCGAGAATCCGAAGCCAGCTTATTCGTTCCTCCATCTTGACAGCTGTATTGACCGCAACTAGTGGTGCCGAAATCAGTGTGTATACTTTTCAAAATGCGATCACAGTCACATCGCTTCTGCGCTGCTGCTCCGGATCCTTCTGCACTCTCTCTATTTGAGGATTGAGGTGAAGTTCACTGCAGAGCGCTTACCCACATGTTCGTACAGTTATCGAAGTAAGTGGCCGTCATAGCCAACTGGAATGTATCGATCATAGTGACAATGTCTAGTTGCACGGAATGTGTTAACCACAGAGATATCAGCCTGACGCGTGTATTACCAAAGCTGTTGGATTACATTCTCGTTCGTCGACTTACTGTTGAACGGGAATGCTCTACTGGGTAAGAGTAGGAAAGTTTTCACACAGGGTGGGGTTGCATGGATCATACATTTACTCTGCGTCAGGTGTTAGAACAACGGCACATGTTAGCCATACCGACAATAGTTGTTTTCCTCGACTTGTGTGGTGCGTTCGACTCACTCGATTGAACCATTCTGTTCGCAACACTTGTGTGAAATTTTCCCTTGAAATTTTTGAATATTTTACGTGTCCTGTAATCGAACACCTCAGGCCCCGTCAGGGTCTTTGCTGACTTGTCGAATATCTTTGTAACAACAACAAACTTTCACCAGCCTTGTTCCATCTATTCATTTTCGTTCGACTCGCTGGATGCCATCATGTTACCTTGCGGAATCTTACAACTCAGACATTCAGGATTCGCCTAGTGAAAATTCAGTTGATCCGGGGTATTCAGATGACATTATTCTGCCATTTGACAACCTTGGGGGTGACCCAGTTAACCATTGGATAAGTTGTCTAAATCGGTCTCATCAGTTGACATGCGCTTCGCGCTTTCGAAGTGCAATGTTGTTGCAGCGTTACTAGCCACTCGGTGATCACTTGACTGTTGACGCATTGTATCTAAACGCAGTTGGCTACTTCATCTATCCTGACAGCTGCATCCGCAGCAATAGGTGTGTGATTGCTGAAGTTGTTTCACGTATTACGGAAGCTAGAACTCTATTTTGTAGCCTGCGACATCTGTGGCGTCAGAAGTTGGGTTCTGTCGGTTTGAGGAGTTGCGTATACAAGGCCATAGGAAGAGCCGTTCTGCGCTGTGGTAGTGAGACTGATTTCCATTGTCTGTAGAGCATTGTTGGTGTCGGCTAACATCAGCTTGTCTACCACGATGATGTACGTAGATGAGTAATAGGCGGTGGCATCATCATTATCGTCATTCTACACGTTAATTGAAGGTGAGAGATACCGTAATACAATTGAATGAACTAGGGAAATGGGGGAAATAGCACACGCGCGCGATAAAAACTTGTCAAGCACTGTTTTTGCTATGCGTCGAGGCTGATCTTGATTGTAGATGGAAGCTGAATGGCGGGGTTTAAGCGGCATATAGACACCACACAAACATCACTGAAACCGGCTCTTAGCCATGTCAACTATGGTCTCCAACCAAACTTGTTCATCTTTCTTTTCCAACCATATCCTAGGAGTTTCGAGGCACCATCCGAGGCGAATTTCGCAGTGGGAGTGTTCATTCCGGTTACCAATTCGGCTGGCCTCTCCTATTCTTCCGTCCACTCCTGGTTCACACAAATTACGCACGTCACTCTAGTCGATAGGCTGATGTGCGTAGCACACAGCTTATCCACCGAATTCCTATGTTTAAACTGACGATGTTGAGCTGCTCACTTGCTCTTGCGCCATAAACGAAATGGCAAACACGTGTGTTATTTACGCGCTGTTCGCACCGGATTTGAGATAAACTGCGAAGGTACCAGTGGGCAAATGCAGTTAGCCTGTTTATTTCTGCCGCAACTGATATTGTAAGGTGGTAACAGTTTAGCATAAGCCCGAACTATGCGGGCCCACCTTTCCTAAACAGCCATTCCATAATGACACTGGCCAGTATCGAATCTATTAGTTCCGCCTGACTAACTTGCTTTTCAAGCCCTCAGCCCAATGCTCTAAGCGTTTTGACAGGTTGTGAGTACGTTGTCCAATCTCGTCGCATATAGTCTAGCTGACATCAAGCCTCCCTATGCCCGTTTCTCTTATAAGACGGAATAACTCTCGATCGTTTCTAAGGTCAGTGACTGTTTCCATCTCTGACCCACAATGAGACCACCAGAATTTATGGTCTCTCCTCAGGCTTGCAGGCATTGTTGCCCTGAGTCTCGTTGTAGTCGCTTCCAGACAGATTGCGTCGGCTAGCATCGAAGAGTTCTAGAGGCTGCGTAGACACCCATTTCACAGGCTGCTACTTGAATTGACTGTACAAAGACATACCTAGGAGGGGAGGGCCAGATAAGTTCTCTCGAAAAACCAATAATATTGGCTTGGGCACGTATGCTCGATCTCCTGTTGTCGAGGAGAGCCTTGTTTTGAATGGTTATCTCGTGATTACTTTCCAACACAGTTTCACTTTAACTGTTACAGCGCTTCACATGCAATCTCGCGTTTTATCTCGTGTACACCTGACTTCCGCTACATGTTTATTTCGCAAGTACTTTAGTGTTGATATTCTCTTACTCTCTTTTCAGCCCCACTTCTTCTTTCACTCATCTTACTACATATCTGATGGAGCAGACCGGATCCGATACCACAGAATGTGACAATCTGCTGACCCAAGCGTCCTCACTTTTCCATTCCAAAGATTTTGACAGATGTGAAGAAGTTATTAACAGTCTTCTGAATTTGAAACCAAACCATTCCAAGGTTATTTGAAATGCATTATCATTGGATTAGTTGACGACTGTGTAGAACTCATGATTCCTAACTGTTTATCGCGTTCACGCCTTGTTTCCCCTAGTATGTTTTTGTAAAGCTACGTAGATTTACTTTTGTTTCATGCAAGCTGCATACTTTTCCGGCATATCTTCAGGACATCTTGAATTTATGCGGCCACGGGCTACTGCCAAACTCGGAAGCCACTATTCGGTTTCTTTCCAAGTAGAACTGTAGCGCCGCATAACGGCTGGTGCTTGGTGATTGCTACTTGTTGTTTGCTATGACCATAGGCCACGAGTTTTGCTAGAACTTATAAAGAAGTCATGCCACTGATGTTAACTAGGTGGTTGTCAATAACCTCGTTAACAATACGACGACTCAACCTCATTAAGAGGTATTTCTCATGTTTTGCCTCATCTTAAGACCAGTTGGTGCTGTTAAGAGGACTGGCTCCAAACAATTTCATCTTCAACTTTTATGTTTATTAACTGAAACTATCTTTCCCTGCACTTCTGCTCAACTTTTCGTGTGCTGCATCATATTTCATTAAAAATTAGCCATTTGTTTACTCTGGTTTTCATTCCACTATGCTTTTACAGTAACAGTGGCGTAATCTCATATGTGTTAACTGCTATGATCATAACCTAGGGCTCCAGCGAAATTAACTTTTCGCTATCGTGTTTTAAATGTCTTTTGATAACTTCAGACCACTGTGTACGCAGATTGCAAACATGTTCTCAGAACTGTTACTTACCGCTTATGAAGTTCCTTCTCTTTAACTAAAACGAACTTAGCTTACCATGCCGTTCGTGTAAGTGGTGTCTTACTATTCACACCTAGATGTAACTACTTTTTCACGTTTTTTTACCTCAGTGACTTCCGGTTTACTCCCACTTGCTTCAGACATCATGATCGTTGAATATAATCTGAAATCTGTTCGCTTAACTATTGATATAACCTTACGATGGGTCTTTTCCAAGCTATCATGGTGTATAATCGTTCGCTAAGCTTGGGGAAATCCTCACTTTTCGGCAACTTTTCATTTGCCTTCACCACTGTTCACAGGTCGCTTTGTTTCTTTTTAGGCGTTGATGAACAAAGCTCTGCTTGACTATGTCAGTAAGCACCATTACACACATACAGACGAATACATGAAGGAATTGAAACGCATCGCATCTGTCGAAGGTGTTCAACTAACTTCAGACCCTAGTTCGTGTACTCAGACTACTTGTGAACAGTCCGCAACGTCCGAACCGAATGGGGGAGTTTCAGGTTCCCTCTCCACTGTTTCAATCACAATGGATGGCCCAGAATATTCCATTCCACAGTCTGCATTAGCTCTCAGTCTGAAATACAACTACGCTTTAGTGCTATTTTATCAACGGAAGTACGTGCAAGCAGAACACATTCTGTCCACTTGTCTGGGCCTCCGAACTTGTGTCAAGTCATCAGAGAAGGGGACTAGCGACGCTGTTGAGCATTTGCCTCTCGCAATCTCCGCTGACTTGCCAACAATAAATCTGACTCCAACATCTGACTTACTTCTTTGCCGTCGGATCTTGTTACTTTGGCTGGAGTCCTTGCTTCACCTACAACAGTCAGAACGCGTCTTTCGGTTATGTGGTAAGCGCTCCGTTACGCTTATCTTTCCAGTGCGAACATGCTTGCGTGTTTAGCGACCAGCTGGAAGTGCTTGCATGTTTTCTTGATGTGTGTTTATCCGCTTTAGTTCAGCAATCGATACACTTGCTTCTTGATGACTGTAATTCAATTCATTACTTTTCCTATTGTTAACCGTGAGTTCCTTTTATAACGTGTTGTCGAACTTCTACACCACTCTCCCGCTCAAGAAAAATTTATCCCGTTTCGTAAGATCTGGGTTAGGCAGGGAGAGCACCACATCGCAATAGTCCAGTTAATTTGCTTAGATAACGCTATGGTAAGTGGAAAAGTGAATAGTTAGACAGTAATGTCACAATTCACTAAAACAAGCGACGGTGTTTCGCATGTGTCCAAATCGGGCAAGCACATCGCAGTTGGGAACCGGCATGTCTCTGATACACGAGCCTCGGTTCGGTCGGGCATACGCCATGTTAAGTTTGGCCGTGCTCTTCTGCGCCTCCTGGATACCGGAATTTGCTCGAATTCAAGTCATACTGACCCCAACCTTGATATCCTTACAAACGACTGATGCATTTTTTGAAAAAGCATACGTCTTTGGTCATGGAACTTTGGCCTTTTTCTCTGTCTGTGTGGATGTGGGCGAATTCGCAGTATACTCAGCCCACGTGCGACTGTTGGTAACCGTGCGCAGCAATGTCGGTACGATGTACCGGCGTGCCGCTGATGACTTTCTTTCTTCTTTCCATTAATCTTGTCTTTCTCCTTTTAGTTCCCAGACCTACGCTGTTATTCCACTAACGCCTGGTGCTATATCCGCAGATGCTCTCCTTCAAACTCACCGATGTAATTTGGAGTTCACCTAAACTTTTGTACTCATATACTCCGTATCTTGGCGTTAACCCTCCATTCTGTTAGCGGTGATTCTTTTTTTCCTGCAAGTGTTGCACTTCTAGGTTTGTAAAGTGGAGCATTGTTCCTACTCTACCTGCGTTCGGATCTACGTAGTTTACGTGTCATCTTGCGGCTATGCTTCCTCGTTATTCTTTTCACTGGTGTCAGTATTGGCGATTCACTACACTTTTACATATGAGGCGTCTTGTTCTAGAATCTTTAAACAAACTTTTAGTGCTTCACCTCTTTCTTGCATACCTCTTTTCATCCAGCTACATGGTTAACCGTGCTGTCATCCATAACTCTTACGAACTCTCTGAACTCGATCAATTTAACTGCCCCTGATCGTTCTTTTTCCTCGATGGCACCACGCTATGTGAATTCTCAGGCGTGTACCATGCTACAAGAAATTCACAAACCTATTCAGCTGTTCTACATTCGAGCTTGCTTGTTGACTGGACGTTTACATGCGGCTGAGGATGAGTTGAATCATGTTACTGGTGAGCAAGACACACCAGATTTGCACGGTCAAGAGGACATTGACGTCTCCAACTGCGATGAAAACGGCAAACGACTGGATGATGACCGATCTCCGTCGGTTACGTGTGATTCAGAGAAGCATCATCAGCTTCCTGTGGATAGTTGGAGCACGGGACGTCTCGTTCATTTTCTACAGGCCCATTTAGCCTTTCTGAAAGTAAGTGTTTTCTTCCCATTGAATCTGGAGCACAGCTCATCCATCTGGAATCAGTCTTGAACCACTGCAAACACGTACCCTGCGATGTTGACTTTTTCGTCCAGTTTGAATAATCTTGTCTCTAGTTTACCGGCACTATGGTAATTAATGCCGTCGAGACTGTGTTTTGAACTTTCATAGCTCGCTTGGTCCAGTGAGCTAAACCGGATGGCACCTAGTTCAGTTCCTTTCGGTCTGTTTAGTCACCCAGAATGTCGTGCGGTTTTCACTGTCCCCATCAGGAATATGAATTTTGCACACTACTCAACACCGCAGAGTAGTTCAATTCTGCACTCAAAATACCTTTCACGCCCAGCGCTGCATCACCCGACAGTATCAATACTAGATTAGAAGTTGCCGCGTTTTCACTTAGTTCACCATCGCGATCACAAGCGCGGTTGGTAACGTGAAAAATCATTCAAAAGTTCCAACTAAAATTCAGTTTTCTTTAGGGTCCACAGACAATGAGATGTCTGTGCTGTTTCGAAAATCAATGAATTTTTCATCGATTTGCTCGCAAAATGTGTGTATATGATTACGTATACTGCTTAAAAACGAATGTGCATAGTATAGATCTTGCATTATCTGTCTGTCCTCATTGATGGTTTACAATAAAGTTCACTTCGATACATCAAGAACACTTGCTAACTCGAAATCATACAGCTACTCTTGTGTGATTTACTGGTTTACCTCGGGGACAGCGAATCCATCTTCCTCTAATCTGCAGTTGCACTTCGGCACTCCGAAATCCTGCGGCAGAGCAATTAGCTCACATGTATATCATCTCCCTCTCCATAGCGTCTTATTACTTATTGCACCTCACACCTGCGTCAATGTGAGCGCTTTCAACTTCTCCATCTGCTTTTATTTATGACGTGTGGTTTCATGTACACCTCGCCCTAGTAAATCACGGCTTTTAATTCAGTATAGCTTTCCGCATCCAATGGAATATCGATTTTAATGGACTAGTGGGAGTCATAAAATTTCATGCTAATTTGTGGGCGCTTCTCGCTGCTAACGCGATTAACTAACGCGCAGCAGCCGTCCATTGCTCTCCATGATATGCGTTATCTGTTCAGTCGAGTCTTAGTGGGACTAAACCGATTGAAGGCGACACCAGCGTCAAGCATCTTTCATCCCGCAAGACAGCATCGCATTATTCAGTCGCTCTGAGGCGTTTCGCGTTGGGGGTTTAATTTTCGTATCAGACTGAATTACCTACTCTACTTTTTTGATGGAGATTTTCTGCGGTTCCGTTGTCGAATAAATGGAAGATGATAGTTCAGCAGTCCCCTATGGTTTGATGGTGTGCTGTTTTCTGCTTGATGTGGGTACTCATGCTAACTTTATTCAACAAACACAGCATCTTACAGCTGACTGACTTTTTTGCCACTTCCGTCACGCAGGAGATAGGAATTAAATCTTTCATTTTGAAGTAGAAGGTGTGATTAAGTTCTCTTCTGCGCACGCTTGGTGGTTAATACAACCGATCAATTGCTCCCGAACTCCTAAAACCTCTTACCTTGGCACCTTTTTCCATTGAGTCATAGCCCATTACCAATGGGCAGTTCGCTTTTCCATGCATAGTGCTTCCCAATCGTTCTCTGGCTATACATTTTTGTGTACATGTACACCTATACCGTATTGAATTGATCTAGTCCGAAGTCTGACAAGCGGCGTCTCGCGTCACGTCACAATGGCATTTCGTTCCCGAAACTCAATGCCGAGTAAAATAATGACGCATCAAAATACTCGATGGTAAAAACCATCGTTCTGTTCTGTTACAATAACCAGTTTTACAATCACTAGCTTTTTCACTTCTGTTTGCACCTTTACCTTGGTAATCTCTAGTTGGCATTGTGAACTGACCTGCCGGTTAATTCTGTCAGTCGCTGGTTCTTTTCTGTTTCCACTCTCTCTTGGGTTCCGGCATTGGGTTCACGGTGTAAAACATTCGTTGCTCACACTGACCAGTTAGTCTCAAGCACTGAGTCCAAGGATTGCACTGTGCTCGTCAGTCCGCTGTACAGCGACTCAGTGGCATAGGCACTGTTTCGATAATTGGACAATCGATTACTCGCTTAGGAAGTATTGCGTTTTCGTTTACTACTACCGTTGAGTCATAGATATAAACGCTCGTGCTAGCATGAGACACAACTTGGACGTGTGCACCTTAATCTAAACTAGTATACGTATGTTCTAATTGTCACCCGCTGCATCCTCCTCCTAATTTCATCTGGCTATCATTCGCTCCCATGAGCTTTAGCATCGTCTTCCTTTAGTTCTCTGAACTGGCACTGCTTTCACAGCTTTGATGCTTCGCCACTCGAATTGAGTCATACTCAGATGACTGACCTTTCATTGTCCATGCTTGGTGTGCATTGGGATTTCTGCATCACATTCGACTGCGCCCCATATGAACACTGGAAAAGTGCCCGTCCCTCCATTCTTCCGATGCCACCGTCTCGAGTACTAGTCCCGAGTGGACTACTTTTGAGAACTGGTGCAAACAGTCGCTCGGCTATTACAATACCTAACGGTTTGCACCATTGAACCTGAATACATCTCTGCCACAGCCTTATACACATCTGGATCGAGCGACTATAACACCTATGTCGCACCATTGGGATACTCAACAGGTGCGCTTAACTCCGGTGGGACCTTCAAATTGGATTTATTCAATTCGTAAAACACTTTTACTATTTTGTTTATGGGGACTGTTACTTGACCTGTATGTTGTCCTATTCCGTCGACATTTTGAAATCACTTTGACATACTGCTCTACATCCGCGTATCGTTCAGTATATATGGCTCCTGTACTTTGATTACACCAACGCTTTTGGAAATTTCAAGTGAGAAAATATTCCAGGCGTAGACATCCGAAACAACAGTTAGCGAATAGGCTTGTTTTCGGTGGATCTCCTCAGGCTTATACACCACAACTGATAGAAATAAAGTACGCCAAACACACTAGACAATAACAAAGTTCAGAAGCTTAGGTTATCAGAATGATAAAGCTAGGTGCTTGGTGCGGAAGCGGTCAAAGACATGTGAGTGGCGTGTTCTCCAACGGGGGTTATTCTGGTAGACAAAAATACTGTGCAAACTCACTTTTGCGCACATACATCTGGGTTTTGGTGGTGGATAGCAATCGCTTCGGCTGTTGCTAGTAAACGATGTCTTACCGCTCGTGTGTGGCGTCCAGGTACGCAGTAAATAGATTGGAAAGACTGACGGGTATCAACTTGGTGATTAGAATCCACTAAATGCGCCAACGCAGTGCTCACCACTGTTTTCGTCACACCACTACACAGCCAAGCCGGGCAATGCTCATGGATTCTCTCGGACCGTCTCCTGGTGGTTCTTCCGATTTAGCTTTCTCGATATGAACAAGAAAATGGGTATACACAGGAAGAAGCATTCGACTGAGGAAGTCTGTCACTGAGTCACTGTTTGATTATGAAGTAAAGCATATCCGTAATTTTGCTGGGTAGTAAGTATGGTCAACAGCGTCGAATAACCTTCGGGACGTTGCCTGCGCTCTTCCATCCCCCTTGAACGGTAAAGATAGCTAGACCAGTTTCTTCCCGACCGAAACCGTTTTAGCTCTCGTCTCTCGGCACTCCTTATTTCTCCGAACAAACTTTTCCGGATAGCCATTTCTCTCAAAAAGGCCACCTACGAAGTTGAACTCATCCAGAAATGCGTCCTCACTATAAATCTTTCTTGCTCTTTCGGTTAAACATCTAATTAAGTTCCGTTTCTGTTTTAGTGGGACAAAGCTGGCAAACTGTATGTATTATCCGTTTCACGTTGCTTCTTTGGGCACCCAACGTTGGGTCGACTCGTCTAGTCTTCTGCCAATCTGGACGTCTAGGAAGGGCATTGTGCCATCGCGAGGATGAATTTAGAATTATGATGTACTGCATTAAAATAGGACAAAATATGCTCTTCGATAGTGACTGTCTATTACACAAAATATATCATCCACGTACCGCCCATAGCATAGTAGACCGCTAACGAGCTCGCTGAGAGAGTTGTTCTCTAAGTTGCTCATTAACATATCTGCTAGCAAAGGTCCTAGCGGTGAGCCCATTGCTACTCCGTCCTATTGTCTGTATATCTCCCCGTCGAACTGAAATTGTGTATTGCTGGTACACATCATGAGTAGCTGTTTTACTCGGTTGACTGATGATTGATGACTGTTCGCCTACGACTCGGAAGAGGTAAGTTTGCCACCTTTATAAGCACGTACGGTCCGACAGTGTGTTATCCTGATGATACGCATGGTCAATTCTACACTCAGCTATCCTCCGTGATACGGTCTGTGTCGAGGAGCGACCGACTATTTCTGCTGGGCGATTTCAACACGCGCGTTGGGCGTGATGCATTGGTATGGACAGATGTCATCCCTCCGCATGGCATTGGTTCAGCGAATGCGAACGGTGACAGGCTGCTCTCACTGTGTGTCACTCACGGCCTAACGATTAGGAGCACTCAGTTTGCACTGAGCGCGAATGATATAGCGACTTGGACACACCCACGGAGTGGTCACGCTCACCTCGATTATGTTGTCCTACGTCAGCGTGCTATGCGTGAAGTGCGCATGACACGTGTACTGCGTGGAGCTGTGGCACTGATCACAAATTGGTTCGGACCAAACTGTACATATATTTTGGTAAATTTATGTATTGCACTCCCGCCGTGAACCGGCGTAAATTTTCCATTCTCTCCCTCGGTTCTGTGGGAAGCGTATTGAACTACAGAAGGCGATGGCTGCGCGACTGTGTGATGTGGACTGCATAGCCACAGTGGGCGACCTGTGGCACCACATTCGCGACCAGGTGACAGCTGATGTCGAGGAGACCATCGGGCGCGCAAACTTTAAGCGGCCTGATTGGTTTGATGGGAATAATGTGGTAATTGACGCATTGGTGTCGGGGCAGAATGCAGCATTTGCT